AAATCACACAAGGATTACGGAATCTCTTGGGAGCATGGAGTCAGCTGAACACTAGAGATCCTTTGTCTGAAAGCAAAAAGGATAATCACAATTCATAGGAGAGTTATCATTTAAAAAGGGCCTTATAAGTTTTTTCCACTGTCCAATTCTTCACAGCAGGGTAATACAAGTGTACTCAAGTTCTCACTACTACAAGTGACATAAAGGGTAAGGTTTATTAAGCGGTTGATGGTAATTACCTATATAAAGAATTGCTCATATAAACGTAAAAAATTATTCCCATATCCCTTTCTTCTGACCCATCCTTTCCAGCGCTCCGATTCATGCTCTCTCCAGTAACAAACTGGTGCCAAGCCAAAGCCATCCACTTTATTACAACTTCTGACTCCACAGACCAGGACAGAAAGTGATAATGAAGCACAAAAAGGGATTTCTAGAGCAGAGAGAACAGCGTGTCCTCAGATGGAGTAGACAGCTTTGAAGTGCAAGCTCATGTACTAGAAGATACAAGAGCTTGATAAGCAAAAAGTGTATTACCTAAATCAGAGAACACTATTACTTACCATTTCATTCCTTCAGGCAGACGGTACCAGTTACAAAGTCTGATGCACCAAAAATCAACGGTCTGCAAAGTGAATGTTTGTCCACGTTTTTCATTTCCACCCATCTACCTGAAAAGGGGAAGTTTCTCACTGAATGAGAAAATAATCCGCTTGTTTAAGGTCAAGACACTGACTTAAACTTTAAAAAAAAAAAAACCACCAAACAAAAAACCAGGTGTTTTATGCTACGTCTGTCCTCACCAAATGACCTGCATTTTAATTTATAGCCATTTAAATTTTTTTCCTCAGAATGTGTATAAGTATGTGGAGACATATCCTATGTTTGTTTCTGTCCTCCCTCATTTTCTGTATGGCATGGGGTATGTTATTTTAATTTTCTGCTTAGTTTCCCTCATAATCAACTAGCCCATGGAACTCCCTTAAAGCAGTATTAGCAAAGTTAGACAGTCAGACACAAGGCAGGAATATCCAGAGCTTCCTGAATTAATGCAAACATTTTTGGAAGCACTAACAAACTTGTAATTTAGCACTAAACATCAATCTCTGCTCACAGCTGCAGTAAAATCTTGGTGGCAGGAAAAGGGACTGCCGGAGCACTGCTGTACTCCTCACATTTTCTGCTAAAGCGCTGATTTTTACCAGGGACAGAACTGCAAGGCTGAGCGAGCAAGGGCGGGGGGAGCCACAGGCCTGAGCTAATGTGGCGGTTCCTGTGAGGTGGTCTGAACGGAGACATTGTCACATGAAATATCAGGAGAATAATGCTTCGGGCACTAGCAGAGGCGTTTGACCTGCAGTCATCTCAGACAACAGGTTGCCAAACTTTCTGAAGAGTAAGAAAGTACACGTTCCGTTTTGCAGACAAATCCATTGTGATGCTGTAACCTTGTATCGGCTTTTCAGAGATAAAACTGGATTCACAGAAAGCTTAACTGCGATGAACTTCGGTTTCTTGCTACGTAACATCATGGAAAGCAAAATCAACCCGATCACACGCAACTCAAAGTGCTGATCTCAAGTGATATTCTCTTTTTCCAAGCACAGGCTATAGCTTCTTATGACTTTTTTCACAGAATGTCAAACTATACACTTACTCACTGGTGTAAATAACACACACTGGAAAGAAAAACAAGAGAGAGGAAAAGACCCAGCTTGGAAAAAGAACCATCAATTTTCTTTTCAAATGTAGCTGAACAGGAGAGTTGAGAGGGAACAGATTAATGAGTAAGAGTGCTAAAAGAGGACTTCAGTATAAAGTTATTATCATGTCCAGATGTTGGTTTTGCCTTTGACAGTTGTTTAAGGTTTCATTTACATATACAGATATGCATCTAGTCTTAAGGCACCTACATGCATTTAAAATGCCTGTAATAACTTTAAGCAACAGACATCTATAGATTCTGCACTCCAATTCACCTGCAAAATGAAGAAGATGGCGATGGGGTGAAAAGAAATAAAGTTTGTTTGAACACTGAGTACTTAATTTATTAAAAGTACATAATCAGTATTAACAGATGCATTCAACAGTTATTCCAGCAACAAGCTGGAGTAGTTTGCATGTCTACAAATTGTAATATTGCCCCAGACGATGATTTTAAATCTATGTAAAATTTGGGTATATTAGCTGTGTATGACTGACACCTCTTAATGTATACTGCATCTTTTAAAAGTTCATTGCTGTTGGAAGTTTTTTAAAAATAAAAGTCACTTAAAAAGGGACTTCTTCCCTTGGAAGTACTATGTATGTCTGATTACTATGCAGCCAAGTTGAAATACTCCCTCCATCTTCTATGCCAAAACAGATGGCAAATAACGAGCAAGTTGGAATATTCTCTGCTTATAGTATTTAGCTTGCGGTTAAGGACCTTCCAACTTTCTGGGTTAGCACCATCTCACTAGAAAACTGCTGTAGATCAAGGAGGACTAGCACAGCTGACATAATTCAGTCTCAAACCAACCTTCCCATACTTAGCTTCTTGTGTCAGCATGTGTCCTAAGCTGAAACATCTCAGATTGAACTTGGCTACGACCTAAGAGTACAGGGATGTGTTTAGCAGATGAGACTGGCAGGAATAGAGGAGCCTAATGCGGTCAGAGGTTCCGAAGGCAGTGGAAGCGTTATGGCTGCTGATGCACTGAAGGTAAAAAGGGAAGGTTTTATCTCTTTCTCCCTGGTTCCTCACAGTTCAAACACTTGGATTTTTACTGTGCAGCATGCCACCACTCAAGTGGGAGAGGAGACAAAGTGGCAAGATTTTTCTTAACGTTTCTGCAACCCTACCAAGATTGCACTATTCCAAAATAAACAGCTACCCTGAAAAAAAACCCCAAGTCTTAAGCAATTAAATTCAGCATGCCTACTAATGAAATTGTTATTCTGTGATGTGTTAATTATCCCTCATTTTAACAAGTGACAGTAGGCTAGAGGCTTTCTTTTTCATTCCACATAAAAACACATCTGTAGTGGTGTAAAAGATAATTATTTTAGGTTTTTCAGACTAAAATTACACAAAAAGCTTCTTCAAAATGATAAACAGTGGAAGTCATTACACACTCCTTAAATATGTTTTGGTAATCTTGTTTATTCTTTAAAAAAATAATTAACTACTATTTCTCAAGTCAACTCTTTAAATCATGCTACTTCTTTACACAGGTTAATATCAGTTCAAGAGTACTGAACATACAGTCCTCATTAATTTCAGTCTTCCTTAAGTTTTGTTAGAATAGCACCTATGGGATGTTCAAGCTCTCTTCTAGTCAGAGTGCTAACGTGGCTTAGGTTAAACTCCAGTCCCCTATTTTCAAAGCTCTCCCCTTCAGCTAGCAGAGTGATGCAACTTCAGCATAACTAGTTTTGGAGAAACATGAATTGCAGAGTCTTCAGAAGAATTTTCACTATCTTGTTTAAAACAACATATGGGAATAAAATAGAACCACAACTTCGGTTTACAAAATATAGCTTTAATTATGCAGATTGCTTCAATGAGTTTTCAAATATAGATTTCAAAAAGTCACCAGTGTTTTAATGTATGCTTTCTGAAATAACATTATAACGTTTACTTTTTAAATACTTGCTGCTAATATGTTAGTATTTGTCAAGTTTTACCAAGTGTTAACTATTAAACATTTTTGTTTAAGTGTTCGATAATAATTAACTCATTATTGAAATGCCATGTCTAGACATTCACTAGTGCATATATGCTTTTGTAGGGATTCAGGCATTACTCTGATTTACAGGTTATGAAGAGCTTAAGTAAGTCTGCTGGACTCCAGTGGGAGCCATGCTCAAGTTACAGAAAAAAAAGCAGCTAACCTACTGAAGTAGCATAAATAACTGAGAGAGAAGAGAATGACTTGGTCATAAAAACTAACAAATTTATATACTTGGAGCTTCAGTTTTAGTCTTTTCTTGGTCTCGGGAAGAAGGTGAAATACCAGAAAGTAAATGGCTGCCTGGCCCACAGCATCCTGGTATAATCACAATAATGCGGGGAACTCAAACAGATTGTGAAGAATTTCATGTGGAACAACTTATATTAAAGAAGATTCTTTAATGAAATGTCACTTTTGACTCATGCAGTAGATTAAATATTTTCGAGGGAAGTCTTCAGGGCCAGTCAGTTTCCAAGTGGATTTCTTTGTATGGTTTCCCCAATGCATACCTCGAGAGGTAGCAAGGTAGTTTTGTCATTATACCAACTGAATTTTGGCTTCTTTGCTGAAATTGCAAAGGCCCCAACTTGGAGGTGGTTTCTTATCCTATGCAAACTGCTCAGCCACAGCTCCTTTCAAATACGCCCAACAGCAGTCAGAAAGTGGTTTCTACTGACCCACATGACAGTGAAAAAGTCGTGAGAATCTGGTATTCCCTAAATAATCTCCCAGTCGCTTGATTCTTTCACAGCGTCAATTTCAAACCAATCTTGCCATATTTGTAGCTTCCTACACCACTGTAACCTGAATTTGATAAATCAACTCTTCTACAGAGCAGGAATTTCTTTAACAGCTTTATATAGACTCTAACATGAAATCGAACAGAAGTATATACTTTGAAAACAGATTCAGATTGGTTTTTAATATATTTTTCATTTGTATTTTAGTTTCCATCAAAACAGAGTGTCACTCATTTGCAATGACCACAAGATAGCTTTACTTTCTTTTTTTTTACAAGAATTTACTATGTAATTCTTGTTGCATCACTTCAGAATATATTATATTAGAAAAAAATACAGTTAATCAGATTACAATTAAACAATTTCATTTCGAAAAGTTGCTTTACCCATATGTTACCGGGCTGAAAGAAGGCAACTTAGGTTAAAAGTGTTACATAGAAAATCTAATAATGACCAGAATGCACTCTTAGCTAACTGGAGGTTTAGAGGTGTGGAATTTTGAGTTTTACAAAGCAATTTCAGAAGAATGAGAAAGGAAGCTGAAATGATGCAGCACAAAAATTGCAAAAATCTCACGACTAATTTTCATAGTGGAAAGGTACAGGTTGAAACATGCTGCCTGTTCAAACTTTCTGGGAGAGAACATGCAGGATCTTACTTCTTAAAAATGCTGTCAGACGAACCACATCACCCATGTGACTCACGCAAAACCATTTTCTGCTAAAGCTCCAAACACATTACCACTTAACAGAGGCTTCCAAAGGCTGAAATCAGTCTCTTTAGTCACTAAATGAAGATTCACTATCAGAACTGTCTTCTGCATTCCCATCATCTCCCCAGGCAGGCACAGGAGCATCTGGGGTCCTGCAGGCAACAAGAATGTTTTATGTTGTAAATCCTAGAAGGTGGCTGTGAACTCAAGCAACTTAGCATGTAATGCTCATGCCCTTTCACTATAGTTGCATGCACTTTATATCCACAACATTTAACACATTGTTTACGGTTTACAAACTCATGGCTTATGGTATTGCTTCACTTACAACTGAAAGACAAACCCTAAAAATTGTAACTCACTGGACATCAAAACTCTGTGGACATCAGTTTGAATGCACACCTTTAAGGTTATCGGAAATAACGACAAATTACTAAGAAGTGGCAAACACTTGTAGAAAGAGTTGAAAGCAGGCAATACTGATTAATTCATTCTTTTCAACCTTCAGAGGCTCTAGGGCTGAAAGGAACATGCTGTACACCATTAAGCAGTGTAAATAGTACATGAAAAAAATAAGACAGGAAATGAACAATATTGTATCCAACTAAAACTGCAGGGATAATTTAGAGAAGCAAAAAAGAATTACTCAGAGTGGAATTTGGCTAGAACACTGGGTTAAATTTGACATGCAAGAGCAGCCATGGGATTTTTATTGACTATAAATGATCAGATCTCTTGTATTTAGTTTTGAAGAGAATATTTAAGATGGATCTTAACATTGTGTCAAAACATCTGCTCAGGGAATCTACTGGGAACAAAGGGGAGAGAAGCAAGCCATCTAAAGACTACTGACTGAAGATGCTGGTTCTCCCTGGAGTCTCCCTTCTAAGTATGTAATGAGTTTGACCATACAAGCATGACTGAGCCTGGTAAATTCTGAAACCAAGGTAGGAAATACACATGCAATTATACTTGGGGCAGGGGAAGAATGATCTTCACAGAAACTAGCTTCCTGTATGATATTTAACTGTTCTCTTTGGTAAAATATTACACTTTAAGCTGAGAATCGTATTATTCGTCCTGTTGCTATTTATCTTGGGGCTACCCCTGTGTGCCATGCCACAGAATTTCTTTTCCAACTTCACTTCTATTTATTGTAACTTCTCAGCTGGAAATCCCTAAGGTATCTTTAAAGTGTTTCTAAACATTTTGGGTGCAAAAACGAGAAGAATGCAAAAAAAAGAACTGCAAGAAAGCCGTCTACCTCCCCACTGCACACCTCCAAAATAAATTAAGAAAGCGTTTGCTTTCTCATGCAAATACCACTTCACAATATTATTCCTTGTTGCTGTGGTAATGACAAAACAGAAGAGCTGTGCAAAGACATGTGATCTGGAGAGACCAGTGCAAAAACTCTCCTCTAGTAAGGAGAGGAAGATGGCAATGAATTCCTCTAGTTCGTGAGGGCAGGACAAACTCTCCTGGAATTCTGGACAGGCAAGAGAGGAAGGATAACAAAACTTTTTAACAAAAGTTTAAAATAGATAAATTGGGAGCGTGATAGAATAGACAGTTTTCAAACTCTGTAAAAAGTTGAGAAAGGAGCAATAACAGAAGTAGAACAGCCGAAGGGAGTGTAAACAACTCTGTATTATTACAACTAGCATCCCTGCAGCCACAGAAAAACCACACTGTCACTGGCAAGTAGCTGTGAGAGTCTGCAGTAAGCGACTGAGCATACAGCAATATGTACATTTTCCTAATTTTCACTGCGACTGAGTGAGCAGGCCTCAGGAACCTGAAGACCCGAGAAATGCGGTATGAATGGCAAGATACATATTAAAAAAAGTTTACAATATTGAGACAAGAAAGCAAGAAGATTAAAAGAAAGGTCACCCCTGACATTTAATTTTGTAGTATTTTATTTTAAAATATTACAAAATTATTTAAAGTAATACCAATTCTTGAAAGAAGCATTATGCACCTTCCCAAATAATTTGCTTTCTTTAACCAGGTAGATTTGCTATACAGTTTTCAAATCACTAACATTTTAAAGAAAATCTGCCTAAGCATTAGTGCCGCACAGAATCTTTGAAGATGAACTTTGAGACCAAACCTCAAACATATTCCATGAGCCCCAATCCACAGTAATAACGTTTCTGTCTTTCCTCAAAACAGACAATCCAAAAGCAGGTACTTTTTAAAAAAAATTTTTGAAATTTTAACCTATTATCTTATTTTTATCTACTGTAAAAATCCATCCAAACTCAAAGCAGCATTTACAGAAAGGTATGGACCTGAAACGCAGATTAAGTAGTACAACATCTTTAACACACATAGAGTAAAACCATGTTTGATAACCCTGTCTCAGACTTGCACAGGTTCTTACTTCTGTTCTTTTTCTTACTTCCTATTTGATCAGTAAAAATGTCAAATGAGGAGTAACTACTTTAGGCTTAGTTAGACACCAGGAAGTAGCTGGGAGATACAGTGACTCAACATATGATGATATCTCAAATTTCTGTTTCCCTGTATTTTTATTTATTTTATTAAACAAGTTGCTAGTTTTGGAATAAGCCTTTCCAAAATGTAAAAAGACTTCACTGAAAAGAAGCAGGAGGCTTTCTGATACATTGGGAGTTTCTGAAGAGGATGCAAAAGTGTTTCAAACAGTTTAGTGGCTATAATGTAATAATGAAAATCTGTATTTTCATCAGTTTAACGAATTCCGTGAAATGGTACAGCAGAATTGAATTACACGTCAAATGTAAAATAAGCTTAAAATTAATGCTTAAAGCCATAGAAGTAGCTTTTAAAATGAGTATCTAGTCTTAGTAGTCTTCACATCAGGTTAGCTCAATCAACAGTCAGAACTGCTGACTTCATTTTACACTGTCAACGTTACTCCATCTACTGAGGGAATCTGGAAACAACTGCATTGTCTCTCATGCATCCAGTAAAATAAAATAGAGTTTGTTCTTATTACTCTGCAGTGATGACATTTTGTTATTGAAGTATTGGAAGAAAATATCTGGGAAAAACTGCATGTTCTAAACAGTCCAGTAAAAATGGCTGCCAATGTATTATTTGATTCCTCATTGCTAAATGCACTTTGTCAAATGTTACCTCATCACCGCTATATCCTTCTCCTTGAACTGCACCACCTCTGCTTGGCTTGGAAGAAGCCCTTCAATTTCCTCTCAAATCTGAACAGTAAATTCCTGCAACTTTCTGTTTGGGAGGGTGCAGTAAATACTCATTGATATCCCAGTTTCTGTATTTCCTGGGCCTTGCCTTGGACTAGACAATACTGAAAAGACAGCTCATACTTGCGATTGCATCCCTCCTCCTTTGGTACTGATGGTCCACTTCAGATCTATAAAATGCTAAAAACGCCTTTCATGGAATGCTTCAAAACCTGTTTTAATGCTGATAATTTAGATTCACAATACCATAAAAAAGCTTTTCTAAGCACACTTTTTTCCAAGTTTTTTAAACACATGGTTGCATTCCAGCCCTACTGAAAGTTACAAAATACTTACTCAAGAAGATCTGGATTTAGCCCTTCGGAAATCATTTTGTTTCGTATTGCCATTACAGGAACACCCTGTGTAGGAGGAAGAATAATATGAAACTACTGGACACAAACAGGTGAATTAAATTCCACAGGTTCTTTTAGGGTACACTTTCGTACAAATTTATGCATGTCGCTTGTTGAACAAGAGCACGGAATGATAATCTCAGTTGCCGTCAGTATGAACCAAGAAAGAAGAAATGACTGAGATCAAATGCCCTCTTACTCCCTCTTATATTTATGGCAAAACTTCTAGAGGAAGTTGCAGTGAGAGAATCAGGAATTGACAGATATATTTACAATTCATGCAGACAAAACTAAGAAGCTGAAGTTATGTGTATGGATAAGAATGTGAAGAAAGCATAAAGCAGCACAAAGACAGCAGCAAATAGCTGTGCTAGAAAGATGAAGAAGACGCAGACATGCTGAAGTTGTAGCCAAAGAGGTAGGAAAACCAGGAAAGTGCATCTGCTACAGCTCTGGAGAGATACCTTAAGGGAGTGCTAAAAATTGGAGTAGTCTTTAAAAAGCATGCAGAAAAAGGCAAGCAGGACATGACAACAGAAGCACAATTTAGAAGTGATTCCTCTGAATACAAGTGCTTGTACAGTCAGGCTTGAATCTTCTATGACTTGTGGGCAAATTTTAGCCAACAATATACGTGTTAAAAAAAATTCCTTCCTTTCACTGCAAGTCCTTCCACAGCTTCTGCACTTTATTTTATTCAGCAACACCTAAACATCCCCTCATCTTGGATCGCATATCCAAGAACACTTTGACCCACGTCGTCTTACAAGACACATTCCAAAAAACTGCTCCTATGTTTCCACTAGAGTTGGTCAAAGACAACTTGTTGCTTTGCCATCCCCTGTTGCAAATCATCAGAAACACCACCTGGGCCACTGCATGCCAAGAGGGAAGAAAAAAAAAAAAAAGCGGATACAATTTCTGATTTCCAAGGGACAAAGCTACTGGTGGTCTAGGAAAGTCAGGGGAAGCTTCACAACAAATATTGAAGGATTCTTTTGGCACAGGACAAATATCTTTTGTCCAAAGTAAGTAAAATATTGATAAAATAAAAGGCAGCCGTGACTAATGTTCCAGAGAAGCATGTGGTACTAGTGACAGTTGTGGTAGCTAACCTGGCAAAGTGAGAGCTTAAGCTAGCTGTCTTACTGTGTTTTCCTTTTCCAGTTTCACAATAAGAATCACAATCAAGACTTTTGCTTGAAGATTCTGGAATAGCACAGACAGGTACACAGTTTTAACAATCTATTAGGCATATTGGCAAAAATGGGACTCAAGTTATGAGGTTGTCCTGGTTTCATCTGGGATGAAGTTGGTTTTTCTTCCTGATGGCTGGTATAGTGCTGTGTTTTGAATTTGGTATGAGAATAATGTTGATAACACACTGATGGTTTTCGTTGCTGCTAAGTAGCTGTAGTGCTTATACTAAGTCAAGGACTTTTCAGCTCCCCACGCTCTGCCAGCAGAGGGGGCGGGGGGCACAAGAAGCTGGGAGGGGGCACAGCCGGCACAGCTGACCCAGGATGGCCGAAGACACGCTCCCTACCATGTAATGGCATGCCCAGGGTTTAAACTGGAGCTGGCCAGGTGGTGGGAATCGCTGCTCGAGGATGGGCTATCGATGACCAGCTGGTGAGCAATTGTTGCATTGTGCATTGCTTGTTTTTGTAGATTGCTTTATCAGTAATATTAGTAGTATTATTGTTGTTATAATTGTTGTTTCCTCTTCTTTTGCTGTCCTATTAAACTGTTTTTATCTCAATTCATGAGTTTTTTTCTGATTCTCTGCCCCACCCCACCTGGGAGGAGGGGAGCGAGTGAGCGCCTGTGTGGTGCTTAGCTGCTGGCTGGAGCTAAACCACGACACAGGTATTAGCTTGTAATAAAGAATTTCTCAGTAATTCAAAATTAATGTACATTACAAAGGGGAAAGCATTTGAGTATTTAATGACAGTTTAAAATATTCACTTATTCTAGTGAATTCTATAGATTTGGACACCAGGTATTGTGTGTTTATACACCATCTTGTACCATCTAAGTTTTTTTCCCTCGCTTGACTGCTCTTAAGGTTCCTTTCCCCAACTCAGAAGTCACTAATGAAGTGTTTATGCATCAATTCAAACCATGTGAAAACCAGATTGAGTCAGATTGGTCAAAGCAGAATTTGTACTTACTCTCACTGAAAGGGAGCTTGGTATATGAACTTCTAAGAATGGATTGGAAACTGTCATGTTTTTATGCTCACACTTGGAGAAGCACTTTATTCCAAAATTTTACGCATCAAAATATGTAAGAAAAAAACCTCCCCGTACCTTCATACATCATAGATTTACAAAAGTAATCTCAGGTTTAATCAAAATACCCTTTAATAATGCACTTTTTTCCTGAAGGAAAACAAGTAAGATTGTACCTGTATCTATGTAATGCAGTCACTGTATTATAAAATTACTTTATCTTTCACACTTTCATAAATTTTAATCTGGAAAATCAGAGCCTAATACTGCTGCGACCCTAAATCTTACTAAAATAAAACAGACAACTATTTTAAATCTAAACAGTAAGTACACTGAGCAAACAGATCCACTGAAATATCACAGGTGTACATTTCTAGCATAGGAGACAATACTACGTTTCCATCACAGTTGTCTCTGCCCAGTTAAGATTTGCAATAATCCAAATCACTACATATTCAACACAGTGTACCCCAGCCCTATTCCCAAGCGTGCAGGTCCTGGAGAAGCCACAGTGCAAGTAGGAATCCTGTTGCAAAATAGGTTTTGGTTCACCATAGTGCATAGACAAGCCACATATCACCAGTGCTGGCAATTCCTGAATATCAGTGAACTCTCTGTGTTTGGTTTTTATTTCAGTCTTTTAAAGCAAGGATCAATCTATACCAGGCCAGTCAGTAGCTTGGCGTCTATGCAGTCATGTTTGGTGTCTAGAATCAAGTAAGAGTACTTGTACTTTAAACATGAAGTTTATTTGATATTATAGACTGCTCTTCTCACACTGTCAATAGAAGAGTTCTGAACATTTACTGTAGCAAATATGACACTGCTTTTGTAATGTGTTTAATACTATTGTTGTATATTTTAAGAATATTAATTTAGTATGCTCAACTGCACTCCATCGAAATGAGTTTGTTACTATTACATAGAACAGCTATCTTTAGTGAAAGAGAAGTATCTCTTCATGGTACTAATTCTTAAACACTACAAATATTGTGAGGAATAAACAAACGATCAGTGCAAACAAATCTTCAGCTAGAAAATTAATTTAGGCAAATAAATGACACTAACAAATATTTGACTGAACGAGAAGACAAGTTTGGCAAATACAAAAACACACATTAATTTGTAGTATGTTAGTTTGACTTTCCTACCACACTATTTACAACTGGCAGAGGACTCACCAGGAACTGCCAGTACAAAGGATAAATGTGGAAAGTGAGATCTCACTCCTTTAGCAGTCACCAAAAAAAAAGTCAAAGTAATTAGACCATCCAGCACTTTCACATCCACTTTGAAGTCTGGCATTAAATCAATACTCTAACATAGTGTTCTACTTTCTGCTACTACCCCACTGCTAGGTTTTCCAAATGGTTTGTAATAAGCTACTCATGAAGTTCCAATTTGTGATTCAAATGAAAAATAAGGTCTGGAACATCATCCAAAGTACCAAGGACACCAATTGTAATAATTGCTCTGAAAAGGGAGTGAAACCATGAAATTAGTTTTAACATAAGCACCATTTTACTAGCACTACGACATAGTCATATTTTCCAGAATTACAATATATATTTCAGAGGAAAATTTCCACTGACAGCTTGAAAATAAAGACAGATTTTTTTTCGTTTCCAATCTCATTTTTAATTTTAAGACCATGGAAAAAAGCTCTTAAAAAACATCACCAAGAGTCTCCCATTCACCTTTTCACTTCTTCATTAGTTTTCACTCATGAAAATATTGAGAATACATTCATTTATTTCCCGTTATCTGTATAACAGCACACAGATAAAGAGGTAAACAAAACCTGCATCATGAATAACAGGAAACTGAAGTAGAACCAAGTAGTGAAACAATTCTTGTATCTCTATTTCGAACCCTACAGAAATATCAAATACTCCTGCTCTGGACTATACTAGCAGAGATGCATTTTGTACCCCATAGCAAAACCAAACTGTATTCATGTCTGTGTGTAGGGAATGACACCGATTCTGCCAGAATAATTACAGTTTTCAGTGGTATCTTCTGTGACTCCAGCTAATATCATTCCACATTTACACATCCACATCTTCACACCTTCAGTTCACAAGTGTATTGGCAGAATTTCGCAGAAAGATCTTGCCTGAAGCTGTCTGAGGGAATATATTACATCAACTCATTTATTAGAGAAGATGTGCTAGAAATATTGTGATGTTATCCTAGCTTAAAGATTACTGATGTAATATATGTCTTCAGACATTTATTGTTCACTTACAGCTGTGTATGACGTTCCACCTAAAAACAATGGAGTACCCAAAGAACGCTAAGAGAAATGACTTACCACTTGTACCATTTTGAGATATCTGGCATATCTTGGATCCTTGGAAACAGTTCTGACATTTTCTGTTACTACCTCTGTTTTCTGTACCCCTTCTTCATGTATATTGTTCTGCTGTATACAAAGAAGATAACAGCTTAATGGTTAGGTAGGCAGACCAGAACCATGGACAGATTTCAATCCACAATATTTGTAATTTAAGTGTAATGTGCAACTCTTCCTACATCAAGATTATTCTGATCTATGCTCATAGTATTAGAGATTTCCAAGATGTATGAATACACAAAAAACAGCTCTTCCATTGTTGACTGTTACACGCGTGACTTTCTACTTTTAGTCACAAGTTAACTGCACAATATGTGAAAACAAAAAATTAGCCTATAGTAGCCCTGTTAACGTTGTTGTATTTAATGAATAAAACAGAACTAAATTTAAATGCTCACTTTATAAAAAAAATTTTTTTTTAAGGACTAGATCTACATATTTCCCCTAGGGGTCCAACAACTTTTTCCTCAAAATATTTCTTTGATTGCCTGACAAATGTTTTACAGAGATCATATAGCTTTTAAACTTTACTGTTTACTATAAAGCATTAACCTAAAGGATAACATAATGAAATCAAAAGAATCCTTGATAGCAATTAATTTTTTAAAAATGAAAAATTACAAGAAGTTACAGTACTATTTAAAGGACAACAGAAAACTGTGTATTTGCTATTAAACTAACCATTTGAAAGTAGCATTGGACACCTCTTTTCAGAAATATCTTTCCTTACTGTAGTATGGGAGAGGAGGTACATTTTACAGAAAACAATGTAACCGGGAGTCATTCTTTAACATGACTGAAACATGCAATGCTATCTGTCCATTCTGTCTCCCATATTCCAGGCTGCATTAGAGTTACAATCTTTAAGAGGAAGGGAAAGGCAGCAGAGTACTCCAGCTATTGCTGCTCCACAGGAACTTCCACCAAATAAGAGAATGAGCAGAGACTGGAATTGGAGATTCCAAGAAAAGAAACTGTAATAGGACACTGGGGAAAGAACTCCATCTACGAATGAGCCAGAAAGCCTCGCTTAGTGAAGTGATGATCACAGGATTTAAGTCTAGGTTAAAAAAACAAGTAAACACACACATACACAAAAAACCCCAACAAAAAATTAATTGCAGGGACAGGATCTTAATGTTGATCACTGTTATTTTCTGTACATAGATGATAATATATAGAAAACATTCACTGTAATAACCTCTTTAAAATAAAGAATGATAGAAACTCCAATTTGAGCTGAAAGCTCACATTCTAAAGGAAGGAGAAAAGTGTTTGAATTACATGATTCGAACTGTTATTTTTGTTCATGACCTTCCCAGTCCCCTCATGGAATTCACATTCATATTTTAGTGTGAACAGAAAGGAGGCATTTACCATTAGATTGGAGTTAGTTCTTATTATTTAAGCCACATATTCAAGAAAGGGTGTACTTCTTTTTTTTAAGTCACTAGTTAAAACAGTTTAGTTAGTGAAAAACATGTTTTAGATCTTTACAGCTGATTACTCTCTTCCAATAGACTTGCTTTTTCCATATATTTCAAATGAGACTAGAAAGTTGACACAGAGGGGTACATTCCTTCAATGTAATAGTTATTATTCATTACTTACTCCAGACTGAAGTGATACAGCTGTCTGTTGATCTGTAGTAGCTTGTGCCACAGGACCATTTGTAACGCTATTCATATTTGCACTGGACACTTCAAATTTGACATCTTCTAAGCCAGGAATAGAGGATAACTGAATGTACAAAACATCATAAAATAAGCAATGAGCGTATCATAACTCTACATATACAATAAAATCTGCAGGGTGGTGACTATCACATGTTCTCCAGACAGGTTTCACATTAGTAAAATCGTAACTTTTTATCACTAGTTGTGGTATTTTGATTGGCAAACAAAAAAGATTTTTCTACTCCCGTGACTGCTACAACAAAACCCCCAAAAGATTCCACTGGAGCTTTCACAGTTAACACAGGACTGCAGTACAGGAAAGGTTTCAACACCTTCCCAGCATTTTTCTACTGCACTTATCAGCTACACAAGAGCCGTGCCATCTTCCCTGCTACCTCCTCTACAGTGAAAGAAATCATGACAAGCAGCGCTCTGTTACCTAACAGATTGGGGATTAGTTACAGATTTTGCAATTTTCTACATCTTTCACTCTTTTTTAAGGAAATGCTAAGAGTGGATATTAAATGTGCTGTATATTTGAAGGAAATTCTATTTAACATGATTATGAAGAATTCTGCAAAAATTATCAATACAATCAGTATTCCTAAATATTTTGAAATAAATAAGTTAGTAAGCACTGTTTGTACTACTACAGTATTTTTTCCACAAAGATCTTAATGAACAGTTTCAAAATGCCTTATCCCTGCTCCCAGAAAAAACAACTGAAATTGCCCTCATCATTATTGAAAGGAGGATTGGTTAAAACTGTATGGTAGGTGTTTTTTTGGTTTGGGAGTTTGGTTTTTGTGTTTTTTTCTTTTAGCAAATTAAATGATAATACACAACTATCGATTATATCTTTTGTCATTTTAGCTAGAGAAGATACATCAGACACATTTGTGTTAGTTTAGATCCAATTCAGGGCACATTTCAGTATCAAAAGGTTTATAAGGCATCTATCTAGTTAGTTACACCTGACTTATACTTGTCAAGTTGAAAACCTTACAGCCTTGTAACTTTTACAAAGATGATTTTGCTTTACAAAGGGGGCACAAATTTCTTACTAGTGTTTGCATGGCAAGTGCAATTTCGTACTGCAAGCCTGCAACACAAGTTGCATATTTCAGTATCAGAAAAATCCCCTCCATTTGGGGAGCTGGACTTGATGATCCTTATGGGTCCCTTCCAACTTGAGATATTCTATGATTCTACGATTTTTCTGCAATAAAATCAACACAAGTAAACTGCCATGTAGTTCAGTTGCCCTTTCAAGATCCATGTAAACTACATGTTAAAATGTTACACAATGTAAGAGGCAAGGCAAACAAAGTGAGACTCTGTCATGTGAGCATTTCATGTAAGCTCCTTCAAACCATTATGAAAACTTATTTGCTCAACTCAGTCTCTGAAAAGGAAGCTAGTTCATGTAATCTAGGAGGCTGTCACTGTTAGAAGACAAAGTCTGTACACGTACAAACCTTTGCATCCAAAATATTGAGTGTTGTTTCAATTTGTTGGATACGAAGAGAAAGCGCCGACAATTTCTAGAACAGAAAGCAATTAGGATGTGAAAACACTCCCCTAAGCCATTTCTACATATAAAACAGTTCACATCTAGCCAAACAAAATCACTTTTGTCTTCTACCTGCTGAAGGCAGACTGGAGTGTAAATGAGATGATAGTATTATGAAATAAATGAAACAATGACATCCCTTTTTTGTACAGTAGCTATAGTGGTTCAAATTTTAAATAATTTTACTGGGCAGTTAGTTTTCCCAAATAATGACTGACAGAAATGAAAACAGACTATACACAAAAAGACTATGTACAGACTATGCCAAAGTAAACAGGGTATTACTTTGGGCAACTGGAGAATAATGGTAGACATATTGTACCCTTGCAGTTACCAACACATCTTTCTTCAAAGCTTTTTCCAAATGTGGAAGATGAAAAGATGTGATATGTGTGTATGTAACAGAGCAAACACAAAGTAGAAAAATCTGATAAAGAATACAGCAGGTGACTGAAAGTCCTATATAGTCAAAATGCACAGTGAACCAGAACTAACCAGAAGCTTCATATGCTCCAGGTGCACCTCAATCAAATTTTGACACTTTTTTTTTTAAAAATACAACTTAAGTTTTTCTAAGTTACTCTACAAGAACTGTAACTCTTTTAACTAATCACTACCATACTCCACCAGACCTGTCCAAGTGAAGTTGGCTAGCACGCTGGCTGGCAGATATGTACCACTCTGACAGCTTTCTGGCACACTGGCAAGATTCTGCCTGGCTCTGAAGCAGAACTTTAACACCCTAAGAAAATGGCAGTTCTGCCAATGTGCTAGAAAAAGTAAAAAGAGACTGACAGGAGTTAGTCTTTTTGGATAGTGCACTGACTTGTTTACAGATGGTTCTTTGTTCATGAAGAGGAGTTAGTTCCTATTGAAAGGAACTATGTGCCCTACATGTAGCTGGAGAAAGGGGAGTAAAGATGTACAAAAGTGAGTTATGTAACTTTACAGGTCAGTTTGACTAGACAAGAGCCAAGAAATTTAGAGTTAAGGATGGTGTCAGCCCTAATTTTGAATTTCTTGGCTTCTGTTGATTTACACTGAGACCTTTCACATTAAAACCACTTCTGTACTTCATAAATACAAAACACTTTTCAAGGAGATTATAAAGCAACTATGTAGTCTCTTTAGTAACAAGATGTTTAGGTTAACTGACAACTGTTTGTAGACTTCATAGCATTGCTGTGTGTTCAAGATGGCCTTAAATATATGTGTTCTGATTTCCATGGTGCCTATGTAGAAAGTAATATTGAGATCATGTGACAACTGAGTTTTGGACAACTGACAACAGCATCGCCAGGCAGTTACACTGTCCTGCGTAATCAAGTTACAGTAAGTTTACAAATCTAGAAAAAAACAACGGTTTTTTTCCTCTGAAGCTCCATATGCTGATGTGGTAGACAAATTTTATACTTGTCATGGGTCTGGCTCTAAACCTTACTAACAAATAACAGAATTTCTCAGATTACATGGCTTAGTCTAATTGGATTTGACTGCTGCCCTAGCCCTGCTGGCTGGGGCTGTATAGTAGTCTTTGTTGAATAAACTAGTGAACAGTTACAAAAAAACCACTAATGACAGAAAGGTTAAGCTCAAAGCCACATTAGAAAACAACCTTTCTACAAGGGAGGAAGCAGTCTTGTCCTGTTCAGCAGACAATTCCATTCCTGTCAGCCTGCTGTATTTCTATTGACATTAAAGTCACCACAAAAACTTATTAACACAAAATATTTTTTTCTCTTTTTTATGAGACACTAAAACTAATTGATTCGTGTTTGATGCTAATCACTTGCCAAAACTGTCTCTTTTTCCCCTGAAAATTATTTACATTCAGAGCTTAGTGTATCACTCTTTTAAGTTAAAGGTAATGAAATTTGAAAACAAGTTTTGATGCAATATCCTAGGACACAGATGAGAGGGATACTGACTGTCAAAATGGATTCAGCACTGTAGCACTGTAGCAATATGGCATCCTTCTTCCAAAACAAGATGATATCCACAGATGGAGCTGGTCAGAACACATTCCATGTATCAAAAAGTTCAAAGACTGCCAAATGCAGAAGTTTAAGGAAACAGGATTAATCAGGTATAATCAGCAATTCATGTGGATATCTTGGGGGTAAAAACCTGTCTTAAGCACTTTCTCAAGAGAAACCTTGAGCAGAAAGCAGACTAAATTTTTTGGTTTAAGCTACCAGTATTATTGCATAAAAAATATTTAAGTGAATGGTTCTCATTTCTAGGATTTTTTTAATTGTGTAAGTTGACAGCTGGGAAAATAGTAAACATACCTCTTCACAAACAGTAGAAAAGCGGTTGAGAAACTGCACTGTGTGAACCACAAACTGGTTTAGAAATGCTACAGTTCTTTTCTGCTGAATAGCAGGAACCTGCATTAAGTAATATAAGAAAATTAGATTATACATACATGTCAACTCTCAGACTAAAAAGTAGAATGTTATGTTTGTCAAAAAAAGTCTGGTGCTCATAATGTAACAGACAGTTGGCATTTTTATTTAAACCACTATACAAGACTGGAATCAGGAACATTTCACACAAATATGTATGTATAAAATCATAGTGCCTCATGGTTAATTACCTTGGACAATTGTTTAAGTCTTAAACTTGACACAGGAAATTACTCTATGGAATTATAATTGGTTAAAGTGAAGGATTTACAGGGAAAATATTTGCAGCCAAGCTTCAGCTGCACTGAACAACAGTCTGTGAATCTAGTGACTTTCTGGTCTTCACCTCTTCTTTGGTCTTCCGTTTGTCAGCGTAGCCATTCACTACACTTTGCCAACCTTAAGATGTCCTGATTATTTGTGAGACTTTTGGTGCTGCGACCTCAAGTTTTCAGTCCGTGCACCTGTACGGTAGGGTTTGCTAAAGTCCTGTAGTTCCAAAACTGTAAAACAGTGATGACGACCTTATCAGGAATTTACGGGGTAGCACTGAGAATGGAAGGATCACTGAGGCAACTGGAACTGCCCTACCTTTATGCTCTGTATTTGAGAAACAAAGCTAAAAAAATGGTTTTGTATCATTAAAAGACATAAATAAGCAGTTTTGCAGGGGATTTGCCTCACAATTCTACGACTGAAATGGCTTAACCTTTAAATATAATCACAGAACTTCCAGAAAAACGCCTTTGGAGAACATTAATACCGCACTCCTGGAGACATAGTTTAAGAGAAGACGAAGCGCCTTGTCCGCCTGCGACCTCGCTGCGGGAACTC